GGGGGGGAGTGGCTGCAACAGCAGCTGGGAGAGGGAAGGAGCGGGCCTTCTCCCCCCTCGGGCCTGGATCCACTTCTCCTCCCTACCCCGTGTTGACCCCAAGCCTGCTCCTCCCATCCCCAAGCAGACCCGACGGGGGAGGAGGGGGAGCCGGCACACCATGGTGTCAGTGGTGACCATGGGGCCAGGGGAGGACTGAGCCTGAGCCCAACGCAGGGGGCAGAGCATGCCTGAGCCAGGGGAAAAGCTGGCCCGCTGCTATAGTGGGGGGACGGGGCAGTGGGCCCAGCCCAGCTGGCTCCAACCCAACACAGCAGCTGTGGGGGGAGGGGAGGAGCAAGCTTCTTCCCCCCATTGGGCTCTGGCCCACTCCTCCCCTACCCCCACCCTCCCGTGTCTGCCCCGAGCCCACTCCTGTTCCCCTGCTACCGCCAGTCAGCCTGGGCGCACTGCTCTTCCCCGCCCCCCACTCCAGCAGCAGCCCAGCTTCTCCCCACCCTCAGGCCCAGGCATGCTCCTTCCTTCCCCTCGACACTGCAGTGGGGAGGTGGGGAGCAGGCCTGGACCCCAGGCAGCAAGAGGGACGGGGGAGTGGGCCCAGATGGGTGGGGGTGGCCCAGGGCTCTGTCATCCTTGATGGGTAATTGGCTAGTTGATTCAAATTGAGCTGTCTTTCTGTAATAAAAAATGTTTCTGCCTGTGAATCAATTTAGCGTTGCAGGAATCAACCAGCTCTTCTTTATAGCATTTTTTTTTTGCAGGAAGCATGTTTTCATAATGATTGTCAGTTTGTTTCTGGAGGTAGTCTTAAGTGTTGTTTGAGACCTACAAAGCCCTAAGCAAAGCAGAGTCACCGTGATCCACAACTATTTACAACGAGAAATTAAAAAATAAATAATTATCTAAAAACCCTCAGAGGTTCAACGGAACTTGTATTGAGACTTCTGGGAGTTTCAGTTTGGATGAGGTTCTTTTAGCCACCCGCACTTTTACTTGGAGCCCAATTTCTGACGGTTTGACTCTTGTTGCATTCTGAGGCTTACGCACATATCGTGTCCTGTCTTCCTCCTGCAGCTTTCTCTTGCTGCTCTCTCAGCCCTTTGTACAAACCACCTGAGCATTTCCAGTTGGGTCCAAGGAGTGTACAGTGCCCTGTTACCTACCCACACACATTTTCCATGGCATCAGGGCAGTCAGTATTTCAGGCATTTATGATGGCACACCTATTTCCTTTCCTTTCCTTCTCTGGAAGCCTGTCCTGGAAAAATCTGCAGCATTTTATCCTTTTTTGGATACTGTCTATAGGAACGTTTCCATATAAAGCTTAATTCTTCTGGCAGCAAGCATGTGCTCTTTCATTCTGATACAAGCCAGCTCTTTTTCCTTCTGATGTATGTTCTGCTACTGAAATCATGTACCTTGAGGAGCTCACAACTACTATATTCTCTATGGTCTTTGGGTCCAATCTCCCATATATTCTTGGGTGCTAGCAGAGTCCCCCATCTCCGGTTGGCCTAATAATGTACCTGTGACTCAGTTCTGTAACTAAACGGTGTGTTTCCTTCTTTCAGTGATCCTGTCCTTTGGTCTGTTTCTCTTAATTTTCAGGCACCCCACATCTGTGAGGACCCTCATCCACATCCTCAGAGTTCCTGTCATCAAAAGGGCACATTTTTAATACCTGTCCCACCATGGCATATCTGAAGTGCACCTTGAAGTAATTTTCCCCATTTTGACCTGATGGGTACCTTATGTTGTTTGGGGATAGTCTCTTGGGTAACAATCCCTGACTTCCTATTTACTGAATGCTGCTTATCACTCAAGGAAGTGGCTTCCTATTGCCAGTGTTAAGGCTCCACCACTTACTGTTGCCTTTCTAAACTTTGGTTGTAGCTGAGTTGGTCTAAGAACATAGGCAGGCAAGGTTCTGTGGTTAAATGTGATGTCCAGCTAAGTAGTTGGTAAAAAGTTCTTAGGAAGCTTTCGGGCATGGTCACCCTCGCCTTTCTAGGAATTGTTGGAGGACTGCCTGAGCCCACCACTTCCTCACTCCAGCTGTGCTGCTGCCAACCAGTTGAAAATGTGTTTCATCATTTTCTGTTTTTACCAAAAACCAAATCAAAACAAAGTCATCAGACAAACCACTCTGGTTATTCTAGTTATTTTGGTTTTCTCTTTTTTTTCCTGCAATTCCCTCTCATTTCCAGGAACCGAGTGACTGCCTGTGTTCTTTATTGTTTGTAAGCATCTGGGCTATTTCCTCCTTCCAGACACTGCCTGCTATGACAGCTGAGTCTCAGGGAACAAACGTGTTCTCATAAGAACTTAATCAGAACATCAAACAAAACAGCCCCTCTGCCTAATACCCTTTCCATTCAAACCTCTCCTTCAGGGTTTACAGGGTTCTCTGTTAAGCCCTTTACAAGGAATACTGACCAGTTCTCAGCTAGAATTACCACAACACACTATTAAAGAGCAGTTTTGTGAACTTCAGAAGTTGAGGTATAAATCGTTACTTTTTTGTCTCTTAATGTGCTTGTACATAAATCTAGCTTCTTATACACTCCCAAAATGTTGTATATGTGTTTACAAAACTAAATAGTACATATATCAATTAATCTTTTTATCGTAAATACTTTTCTTTTGCAAGAGTAAAATCCATTTAAATAACTTGCTGGATTGGGATGTCTGCCTAATTGGAATGATTGCTTGTGTTTGAACTCTTACAACATGAATTGCATGCCATGTATTAGCATTGGGACCAGCCTTCCCGAAAACAGTTGTAAACAAAGCCACTATTGAACTAACAGTTTGTTTCTAATTACCTTTGTCAGCTGAGATTAATTCCATCATATCACAGTACATGGGATTAATTTTAAAACTGGTGTAATGCTAAATCTGCTTTTTATTGTAATGAATGCAAGTGTCTTTAAAGGTTTTTTGTTTTATCTGTCCCCAGTTTTTTGAAAAGTGTTTTATTCAATTTAGAAATTGCAAAAAAAATTGCATATCACCCAAAACATATTTACAGCTGATGTCTGGACTTGAAAAAATTCTAGATGTGCCTGACATCCTCTTATAAATAACAATGGTAATTTTATTATAGTAGTAAAAATCGTGTATCTTTTTACTTTTAATAGGGTATGCTTTTAATAAAATGGTTCTTATTAAGTAAATCAAGTGACTGGTTAACTGCCAGTAGCCCTAAGCAAAAAGAGTTTACCTCCTAGTTGGATGACTTCATTATTCAGGGAGAACATGTAAATTATTAAATGAAAATTGCTCGTGATCGTTGGTAGACTGCTACCAGTAATAGAGCAGGAGGCACCATGCCAAGACTTGTTCCACTTTCTGCACTAGATGCATATTAGAGTATACTTTAGGTCTCCATATTAAACTTGGGAAAAACTGTCAAATTCAGCAGGGTATACACTTTGTACATATTTTTTCTTTTGCTGATTAACATGGTTAAAAGAATAAATTCATTTGCATTCTGCTTGCTGTACATGTTGTTAATTGGTTGCACTAATTCTTACATCAGGGTGTTTAAAAATTATTCTGTAGTTACTTGTTTTGCAGCAGTAGTAAATAGCTCAGTAGTTCTCCTGTGTCCGAGTAATTTAATAAAATTACATAAATGCTCCAAGGTTCTTTCTAAATGGCTGTCGTCTTACAGAATGTTTTTTTGCTGGGGGACTTGTCTTTACAGCATCAGCCTCAGGTCTCAAGACAGACAGTGCTTGTTCTACCTGCACCCTGGCAACCCAGGTTCACAGATGCATTGCAGAACTGGAAGCTTGCCAGAAGGCTGCCCTGAATTTATCCCCTGGGTCTGTTTGCAGGCTTGATTCCAAGCCAAGGGTTTGAGATTGGGAACTGGGGAAGAGTCCAGAGTAGCCTCACAGCAAACTTCCAGTTCTGGAATATATCAGAGATGGACATGCTTGGCCTCACACTCCCTAGCATGACCTTTTTTTGTATGTTGTTTTGAACTGTCAAGGAAAACTAATGATTAGTGGAATTGCTCTTCTGTTTGGTGTGTACCTATATTTGTAACCTAGTCTGATTTTTTGCTTATACTGTTGTGGTTTCATTTTCAAGCTTGTTAAGGAAAAGAGTATTTCTTTTTCTCCCCTTTCATCTTATCCTCAAAGCAATAAACTTTTAGAAGGACTTCCAGGGCTATTGATCTCTCAACCTCTGGGGAAAAAGGTTTAAAGACTCACTAAATCTGAATTTAAGTTCTGAGGGGACTGAAACCCTCATCTTCCAGCATGTAGAAGTACTCTGACAACAAGGTCAGGGAACGTGGCTGAAATGGTAACATAGGGACCAGAATTTAGGACTCCCTTGTCACAATCCCTAACCACTAGGCTATAATGTCTTGTATACACTTTCAGTTGATGTTGCACAATGGTACAGCATTTTGTATTTCACTGCCTAAATGCCAGTGATAAGATATAGCAAAAATGTGTGGTGTGCTATATTAAGGGCATGGCTCGAAGTGTTGGTTGCATGTTTTTATAAAGGGCAAAAGTAAAAATGTTCAAACTCATGATATTCAGATAATCTGTACAAAAAAATAACTGAGCTCCTGTCATAATTTTAATATTTCTGAAGGGGGAAAAGAACCCTTCTACCCACTAACTTTACCTTAAATTTTTCTTTTAGGCTTTTTGTGAAACTCTGGAAGAAACTAATTACCGTCTACAAAAAGAACTTCTTGATAAACAAAGGGAAGTGGAATCACTGAAGAAATTATTAAATGAAAAACAACTTCATATAGAAGCTATAGAAAAGAAAATTAGGTATGTGGTAGCTTTTAGGCTTTGAGTTGCTTTTCATAAAGACTGTCTGTAAAGAGCAACACCAATCTAAATGCTTTTCCTGAAGCAGTTCTTTACACTGCCTGCACAGAAAGCCGTGTTTGTAATAATGCCCTTCTCATATGTTGAGAGGCTCACTAAGGAGATTTATAAATCACTAGTGCCAATCATGTCATTCCATCTCCACCTTTAAGAGGAAGTAGATTTCCCTGTCAGTACAGCTTAACTACAGTCTTTCCTCTAACCTGTGAAGTTCCATCTGTAACACCTTCCTAGAAGTGAGTGCAGTGGTAAAGCTGCTTTGAGTTATAGGGAAACATTACATTTGAAAGGTTTTGGAGTTTTTTACGTGGCAAATCTTATCTCAATTTGTCTTTATCTCCTGTATGTCTGTGTGTTAATTTTGTTGTTCTGAGATGCCTGAGCTAGTGCAGCAAATAGACAATTTGCAATGCTACTTCAAAGCTTTCTAAATCAAAGGGAAAATTGGCAAAGTTTCATAATAAAACTTTGTGGTGTCTATCTGCTGAATTTTGGAGCACACCCAGGGGAGGTGATGTTGGACTGTTCTTTCCTGTAGGACCTGCTGAATCGATCATCCTGGACTTCCCTCTGTAAAGGACTAAATTCCTTCAGCCATTTTAAAAAGAGCTTTGATTATACAGTACAGCATAAAACAATTGCTAAAGGAATGAATGGTGTTAGATGTATGATTTGATTTCATTCATTAGGGGCTAGATTCAGAAAAATATTTGTATGCCTAAAAGCAGGATTTGTATGGAAGTGCCTAAATATAGAATTGTGATTCTTGAGTGGGGGTGGGGGGTTCTGTCATATAACTCTGAAGGTGCCTAAGTCCTCTAGACATCTTCCTGTTTGACATGAAAGTTCTGTAAGTACCTAGGTCCACACCCTGAAAAGCACTTATATATCTAAAAGGTGACTTAAGTGAAATTGAAGTACCTAAGCTCTTTTATGTGATCCCACAAAAACATCACCTAATCCAGGGGCAGGCATTTATTTCAGGTGGAGGGCTGCTTACCAAGTTTTGGCAAGCTGTCAAGGGCTGCATGGGTAGCCCCGCCCGTTGACAGGTGCCATACCCCCTGGTCCCCATCTTGGGGTCAGAAGTCCTGCCCCCTGACATTTGCCACCAGAAGTCCCTCCATTTGCCCCTGGAAGTACTCCTTTCAGCAAGGTGTTTTGCCATCTCAGAACCAGAAGATACCAAATTATAATCTAAAAATCTCAAGTCTACAACGTTCATTAATTTGATTTCAAAAAATATTTTTGTCCTGATTTACATGTTTGTGTAGTGTACATAGAGGTAAGAGAGGGAAGCCAGCCTGGACCCTGTGCTTCTGCAGCCCCACTCTTCATAGTTTCATAGATTTAGGGTCGGAAGGGATCTAGTAGATCTTCTAGCCCGACCCCCCGCCAGGGCAGGAGAACAACAAAACCCCAAAACAAAAACGGGACTCAAATGAGTCCAGCCAGGTAGGCATTCAGCCTCTTCTTAAAGACCCCCAGGGTAGGGGCCAGCACCACTTCCCTTGGAAGTTGGTTCCAGCTCCTAGCCGCCCTAACCGTGAAGTAGTTTTTGCGGATGTCCAATCTATACCTCCTCTCCATCAGCTTGTGCCCATTACTCCTTGTTATGCCAGCGGGCGCTAGGGGAAACAG